ACAGACATGAATGAATTTTAATTTTTGAAAATGCTGTAGCTTATACATAACATGTAACCCGTAGCGTTACCAACTAAAGATTTCACGGTCTAAACAAACTAATCTAACAACATTCGACATCTTTAATCTGTGAGGTCTTCAAAACAAACTGTTCCTAACATTTTCTCGACTTATATAGTACGTGTTTCCCTCCTAGTATCTATAGAGGTGGGATATTTACTTTTACTTTACTTTCGCTGTTTAAATCTTAAATCTATTCATTTGTGAATGTAAATATTTCTTGAATGAATGAATTAATGGCTGAATGAATCCTTTCTTTAATCTCGATTACAATACTATAACATATACTCAGTATACTCAGCAGTGGTTAATTCAGGCATTTTTGCTATGTTTGACATTGTTCTCCACTAAGCTTGATTCCGGCATGTTGATAACTCTCCATTCCCGTATGAGCCGCCGGCACGCCAGGGGAAACCAGACCAGGTTCAGCAGCTGGAGGACAGGGAAACAGCCGAGACATGCGAGCAGTACGGGCACACCCAGCTGGTAGAACTGTGTGGTCAGCATCAGAGGCATCAGGTGGTACCTGGAACACGCCCTAGGTTTACTCACAATAGTATTGTCGTCTGTATCGACTGGGCGGATAGGTAATGCAACATTCCTGTATGAACATTTAAAGTTAAGGTGCGTCCAACACTAGCAAGACTTGATCAATGGATGGAGCGCTCATTTTCTAGTTTTAGTCAGACTTACATGACTTTTGATAAATATCATTCTTTACTTTGAAGTACAAAGAGATAAATGCATTTTATCATATTCGCTCTCTGGAATCAATCGCCAGTGGACAAAGTAGCGACAATCAAAAATTCATGGATTGTGGATTGTTTGTTCCATAGTTATGATTTATTATATAGAAGAAGGATAAAGGGCGTCGTGGAAAATTATTTTGTCCTTGGTTCAAATTTAAGTATCTTTTCCTGCTAATAGGCAAACACTTTGGTTAAATACATGTAAGACACATTTAGTGTGATGGAACAATGAATTGAAATACATAGTTACCAGAAGATGCAGAATCCAAAGATGATCCTCGTGCAAAAGAACGTCATCAAGAAGGCAAAGATGACTAATAGGTACAACCTTGGATAACTCAGCTCCTTCATCATGATTCTATACGGAAAAGGATGGGACAAACCATGAATAGTTCAGCAGTATTTCTTGATAAATGGTCTTTGGTGTTATCTGGACATAAATGACGTCTCCAAAGAAACAATGTACCGTCCCTACCCTGAGCAGTAGAACACAGTGGACACTTCCATCATCAGCCCAATGTTGACGTAGTACGGCAGTGAACTGGAGAACTACAAATGTCCAGTAATTAGGTTTACAACATGTTATATAAGATTTATATTATATTTTTCGTAATTTCGTGATTTGCGGAGAAAAAGACAGATCTCAAAAATTCTATAGCTAAGTTAATAAGTAATGTGCGCCTATATGGAGATTCATTTCAAGCAGTAAAGAATCATTCTTTTAAAGTAAAAAAGGAACAAAGAGAGATGGGAAGTCAATGCCTTATCATACTCACAGTGCCGGCGAAGCTTGCTCCTAAGGTGATGATGTGATGTAATATCAGTTGCAAGTAGTTTGTCATTGTGGGGGTTCTGATGAATGTGTGAGCCAGCGTATCTAGACGTGGAGTCGTAGGTTAACGTTATAGACCTTAGAAGCTTCAAGTGATATACTTTCAACTAAGCGTCTTCAGTATGTGCGAAATTTGGCGCTATCTATTAGATGACGTTTTAATTACTAGAACTCACGAACGAAATGATAATGAAATATACTATTGGAGAAAGAACTCGTCCCTTAATTTATTGTTATTTCTTCTCATCTTTCATGCGACGAAGATCTAAAACTGACAAACGTAGCAGGGCAGGATGCTCTCATATTGGAGAAGTGATATACAATAAACAATGGGAACGTTAGACAAAACTAACCTGTTAGTGTGTGGCCCAGCATGAAGGCGCAGTTGAAGCTTACAGCTGGAACGTCATGCCTCCAGGAAAAACAATATTAGCAATCTGTCAAAACTATAGCCTCTTGAAGGTTTTGAAACGTCAATTCAAATACATTTTTAGCCTACATATTTGCAGAAAAAAAGTACAACAGAAAGATACATTTCTTACTGATTTGAGGTCAACTGAGCAGCAAATGCAAATTTGGTAGCGTTAACATTGACAACACCTAGCGAAGTTCAGTGGTACTGTAGACCCACCTAAGACGTCTGGGGTCCAGTTGTTCTGACAGATGCGTTAACACTGCCGTGGTCCCCACAATGGTCGACGACATTATGCTCATGGTCCTGGTATTTGTCGGAAGTAGATACACATATGAAAATATTTTCTAGTTAGGCCTATAAAGATTGATATCATTTAAAGTAAATGATCGATATGAAATTGAAATATCTATTGAAAAAAGTTGTACCCACAGCTTTCTCAGCCACTGCTGCTTGGAGAGAGACAAGCGGGAAAACCTTTCACGGAAAAACAGCTGCAGCAGCCAGGGGCCGACCAGCTTGTAAAAGGGTAGAAACAGAAAACGTTTGTATGATATATTATTCCAAATACGTGATATTGGTCATTAGTTTATGACAGTCAACATTTTCATGCAAGTGTATCAGATCAGCTTTACCCCGCACAGGTTGACGTGTCTGATCTGTATCGTTGTGATAAACCGTTAGTAGGATAGCTCTAACTCTAATAAGTAATCTGAAAGATAAACAAAGGACAAATGAGCAACATATCGAGCAGATACCTACCTGCACCACGAGTGTATTACAAACCACGGACAGTCCAACTGTGGCGAGGAGAAGGTCCTGTGTGCTGGAGCTTAGCATGTCGGTGTTCGTCCTTGATTTTAACCTAGTATGAAAACAGTGATTCTGCTTGTTCACCTTTTTAGTTACGCATTGGGTCCCTGATTTCAACATTTACAAAAATTATTTCAGCTACATTTGTCACTCTTTAGATTATCGAGATTGACATAGATTGATTTTTTTTTTGCATTTAGCAATAGTTTAAGTGAAAGTACAAAAATATTAATCTGTTTTGTTTACAGGAAACTACATGTACGCAGTCAGCTGCATATCACGATTGATTCTGTCACGTACACTCTTCTAAAGTCTTATTTCAAAAGTCTTATTTCACTATCAATTGCAGTGATACATATTTGATTTAAAAAAGACAATGAGTGGTAATAAAGGGTAAAGTTGTTAACTTTGGGATTATTTCATTTTTCAGCGTTTCGGGCATTAGGTTCTCCAACTTTGTATAAATGACTAAAATTGTCAACTTCAGTGCCTTTTTGAGATATTTTGGAGACATTCGTAGCTTTGTTACAAATTGTTCTTTCGTCCGTGTACGTCATTGCAAAATGTACTTTTCTCTATCAAAGTGCAATGCCGTCTTATTGATTTGTAACACCCGGTACGTTGTTTACTATACGTCTGGCACTGCGTTATCTTCAGACAACAATATGCCTGACTAGTTCTGTTGACACCGCCGTCGTTTCACTCATTAACCCAGTCCAACCGGTCCAGTGACCCAAAATAACCGGAAGGGGTTAAGGTTCACTAGAATTTACGAGTAGAGTACCTGTTCACAGAAAGTCCCACCTGATCTGAAATACCCCAAACCCTCTGTATCACGTTGCTTACGTTGTATCTAAATCCCCATACAATTAATAGGCAAATTATTGATAAAAGTTGAAAATAGGTTATCTCATACCAATGCGTTATCCTGAGTTAACCCAAATGCGGAGGTAACGTTTAATTATTCGTAAAACTGCCATACGTACAATATGAAACTAACAAAGTGCGAGACGGCTTCTTACCTCTGTGCAGGTGTGGAAAGTAACTGGTTATAGGTTACAATTCCAATGACTGCGGCCCACTTCGTGTGGATGGAACATCTGACTGGTAGCTCATACCTTGAACAGGTTACCCAAAATAAACAATGGCTATGGCAAGGTAAGTGGAGTTCTATCAGTTATCGCTAGGTGGCACAGCTCAAGGTTTTATCGCCTTTATACTAAAGTTCACAAGGCATTAAATGAATGAAGTTTGCATGGTCTGTGATTTTTTTAATCGTGCAAAACTTCTGCTTAGCTATGTAGGTACTTGTACTATGTAAGAAATGTGACAGGATTGGGTATTACTGTACGGAGGGAAAACAATTAAAAGGAACTCTTTTACATGAGTTAAGTGTTGCAAGTGCTTCAGATTATAATTATTTTTGGCGTGTTTAGGCGTTTAGGCGTACCATCTGCTCGACGCTGCCCTGCCAATTTGATACTGTCTTGTAGCCACAAAAATGATAGCCTGGGTACCATCCGGATTTTCGCTACGCAACGCTTGTGATTTTTTCGAGCGTTGCGTAGCGAAAATCCGGATGGTACCCAGGCTACAAAAATGTCTGCTTGGAGAAATCATTCTTTGTCTGAGTCGGACAGTGATTACTGTCTCATAATGGAACGGTTATACCTCAAAGCATGAATATCAGAGGCACTGAACCTAGTCTATAGTATATATAGACTATAGATATAATATATATATATATAGACTATAGATATAATATATATATATATATGAATTCTTTATTTTTCACAACTGCTAATATATACAGTGTGCTCAGTTCTATCCACTGTAATATAACAACTGCTAAATTAAATACAGTGTACATTGCTCTATCCGCTGTAATATATGCATACACACAAGTTCTCCCTTAACTCGTCTCCCTGGGAGAGAGTCTCTATGGAATGTTCAACCATCCGAATGTCGCCGACTAGAAGGCTGCAGCCTCGGCGTGTTGACCTTGACTTTGTACGGAGCAGTATTTGCCAGGGACGGTGGGGCGAGGTTGAACTTCAACTTCCCTCCTGCCAACAGCGGGGCTTTCTGCTTGAAGAGCCGGTTCTTGAGCCGGAGGAGAGGTGCGTTCTGTTCACAAGTCTGCGGGGATTTCTTGATGACAGGTTCCTTGACGATGT